GCCATCCACAAGGCGTGGATTTTTTAAAAAATATTTTTTCAAAGGCCATCCACAAGGCGTGGATTTTTTAAAGGCCATCCACAAGGCGTGGATTTTTTAAAGAATATTTTTTCAAAGGCCATCCACAAGGCGTGGATTTTTTAAAGGCCATCCACAAGGCGTGGATTTTTTAAAGAATATTTTTTCAAAGGCCATCCACAAGGCGTGGATTTTTTAAAGAATATTTTTTCAAAGGCCATCCACAAGGCGTGGATTTTTTAAAGGCCATCCACAAGGCGTGGATTTTTTAAAGAATATTTTTTCAAAGGCCATCCACAAGGCGTGGATTTTTTAAAGAATATTTTTTCAAAGGCCATCCACAAGGCGTGGATTTTTTAAAGAATATTTTTTCAAAGGCCATCCACAAGGCGTGGATTTTTTAAAGAATATTTTTTCAAAGGCCATCCACAAGGCGTGGATTTTTTAAAGAATATTTTTTCAAAGGCCATCCACAAGGCGTGGATTTTTTAAAGAATATTTTTTCAAAGGCCATCCACAAGGCGTGGATTTTTTAAAGAATATTTTTTCAAAGGCCATCCACAAGGCGTGGATTTTTTAAAGAATATTTTTTCAAAGGCCATCCACAAGGCGTGGATTTTTTAAAGAATATTTTTTCAAAGGCCATCCACAAGGCGTGGATTTTTTAAAGAATATTTTTTCAAAGGCCATCCACAAGGCGTGGATTTTTTAAAGAATATTTTTTCAAAGGCCATCCACAAGGCGTGGATTTTTTAAAGAATATTTTTTCAAAGGCCATCCACAAGGCGTGGATTTTTTAAAGAATATTTTTTCAAAGGCCATCCACAAGGCGTGGATTTTTTAAAGAATATTTTTTCAAAGGCCATCCACAAGGCGTGGATTTTTTAAAGAATATTTTTTCAAAGGCCATCCACAAGGCGTGGATTTTTTAAAGAATATTTTTTCAAAGGCCATCCACAAGGCGTGGATTTTTTAAAGAATATTTTTTCAAAGGCCATCCACAAGGCGTGGATTTTTTAAAGAATATTTTTTCAAAGGCCATCCACAAGGCGTGGATTTTTTAAAGAATATTTTTTCAAAGGCCATCCACAAGGCGTGGATTTTTTAAAGAATATTTTTTTCAAAGGCCATCCACAAGGCGTGGATTTTTTAAAGAATATTTTTTCAAAGGCCATCCACAAGGCGTGGATTTTTTAAAGAATATTTTTTCAAAGGCCATCCACAAGGCGTGGATTTTTTAAAGAATATTTTTTCAAAGGCCATCCACAAGGCGTGGATTTTTTAAAGAATATTTTTTCAAAGGCCATCCACAAGGCGTGGATTTTTTAAAGAATATTTTTTCAAAGGCCATCCACAAGGCGTGGGTTTATAAAATAATATATATTCAAGGTCTATAGGAGGCGTAGGTTTATAAAATAATATATTTTCAAGGTCTGTCCTCGAAAAATATTTTGGTTTTAAGAAAAATTATTTTCATAAAAATTATGTTCCCCTAAAATAAACGTATTTATGGTTCCTTAAAAAAATCAATCTTCGTAAATTATTTCTCTTTTAATGATAATTTAATATTTCACTGTAAGACGATTGCCCAAGGAGAAACATTTGCAATTGGTTCCAAGTATTTTATGATTATATTTTATTTTAACATTAAATGCTAAACAAGTTTTAACTCATTTGCCAACGTCAAATAAAATTTGAAACATATTAACCGCCTGAGTTAATAAATTAAAAATTATAGAAAAAAAATCCAAAACCTGGTGAAAACTAAAAATCTTATCGCTTGACAACTATGAAATACAAAAAAAAAATTAACCCGAAAGCAATTTTCTATTTCCTGTAATTAAAGACAAATTTAAAGTGCAACAAAAAAAAAAACAACAACAACAACAAAATATGTGATCATATGAAAAACGTGTGTTTTCTCAACACTGGAATTGGATAAACAAGGAGTTTTGCGGCTCCAAAAACTTGGGCAACTGGATTAACTTAGTGTTGTAACAGCAGCCTATGGGTCTGCTATGCGCACACACTCTGCGAGTGACCCATATTACACATTGTAAATTAAATAGAAACAGCAACAACTACAAAAAAACACCAACAAATTATGGCACGCAGTCAATAAACTTTTTTCTCCAAAATTTTCCAAATGTCAACATTTGTATGAAATACATGTTCGTATGTGTGTGTATGATTTTTTTTTTTTTTTTTTTTGAATTTGGGTTTTTTACGCACCATTTTTTGGCTGGCTGATTTCAAGCCTTGCCTTTTACTTTGTCCAAATGTTACAGTTTTGGACTATGCCAACTACGAAATAGGCGTTAGCAGGTTTTTTGACATGATGTTATTTCATAAGGAATGTAATTTCTAAAAGAGCTAAATTTTATGGAGTTTTGAAAAATTATTGAAATGCATGTTTACACATGTAATAATCTATAAAAACTGCTTAATAATATTTCTAAAAAATATCTACATCTATGATTGGCAAGGCCTATATTAGGCGTGGATTCCTTAAAGAATATTTTTTCAAGGTCTATATTTATACCCTTCACCACACTGTGGTACAGGGTATTATGTCTTTGTGCATATGTTTGTAACAGGCAAAAGGAAACGAGATAGACACATGGTTCCTTTTGAGAATATGCATAGAATCACTTTTTAAGTCGATTTATGCATGTCCGTCCGTCTGTCTGTCTGTGCATGTTAAATTGTAAACAAAGTACAGGTCGCATTTATGATCCGAATTGGATGAAATTTGGCATAGGTCACTTATTTGGCCCAAGGACGAACCCTATTGAAATTGGGAAAAATCGGTTCAGATTTAGATATAGCTCCCATATATATATTTAACCGATTCAATGTAAATGGTCCCTATATATCTTTCGATTTGCACGAAATTTGGTACAGGCTAATCATTTAGGTCTAGAATTATATCTGCAAAATTTCATATATATTTAGATATAGCTCCCATATATATTTCGTCCGATTTCATGTAAATGGTGCACTCGCTATATATCTTTCGATTTGCACGAAATTTGGCATAACGTACTGAGTTGACCGTAGAGTGATGTGTGCCAAGTTTTGAGAAAATCGGTTCAGATTTAGATATACCTCCCATATATAGTTTCGTCCGATTTCATGTAAATGGTGCCCCAAAGTCCCTATATATCTTTCGATTTGCACGAAATTTGGCATAACTTACTGAATTAAGCCTAGAATGATGTGTGCTAAGTTTCGAGAAAATCGGCTCAGATATATATAGCTCCCATATATATTTTCGCCTGATCTGAGGTAAATGGTCCACCAAAGTCCCTATATATCTATCGATTTGCACGAAATTTGGCATAGGGTACTGAATTAAGCCTTGGGTGATGTGTGTTAAGTTTCGTGAATATTGGTTCAGATTTCGATATCGCTCCCACATATAGTTCCGCCAGATTTTATGTAAATGGTGCACCAAAGTTGATATATATCTTTCGATTTGCACGAAATTTGGCATATCGTACTGAATTGACTCTAGAATGATGTGTGCTAAGATTCGTGAAAATCGGTTCAGATTTTGATATAGCTCCTTTATATATTTTCGTCCGATTTTATATAAATGGTGCATCAAAGTCCCTATATATCCTTCGATTTGCACGACATTTGGTACAGCGTAAACAATAAGGTCTAGAATGATGTGTGTTACTTTTCTTGAAAATCGGTTCAGATTTAGATATAGCTCCCATATATATTTTCTTCCGATTTAAGGTAAATGGTGTACCAAAGTACCTATATACCTTTTGATTTGCACGAAATTTGACACAGCGTAATAAATTAGTTCTAGAATGGTGTGTGCTGAGTTTCGTGAAAATCGGTTCAAATTTAGATATAGCTCCCATATATATTTTCTTCCGATTTTTGATAAATGGTCCATCAAAATCCCTATATATCTATCGATTTGCACGAAATTTGGCATAGGGTACTGAATTAAGCCTAGAAACAGCAAAAATCGGTTCAGATTTAGATATAGCTCTCATATATACTATAGATTGATTTTAAGTAATTGACCAAAGTATATATCTCATTTGCACCACATTTGGCAAAACGTTCTGAAATTAGTACAACCTAACCTGTGACAAGTTTGTTTGAAATCGCTTAATATTTGGATGTAGCTTCCATATATATTTTCGCCCGATTTCAAGTAAATGATACATCAAAGTCCCTATATATCCTCAGATTGACATCAAATTTTGCATAGCGTACAAAATTAAATTTAGCATAGGTTGCAGAAATGCATGAGTATGTTTCTTAGGACGGATGATATTGTATATTTGTTTGAAGTACATATGTACATATACTTTAAGTGGTGAATCTAGGTAGATTCAGATTTAGATAAATATCAAATTTTTTTCATCCAATTTTTTTAATTGACCTATATAAAGCGTAGATTTTTTAAAAAATTATTTTGTCAATGCCTGTATTTTTTCAAGTGTCAAATATTGGTTATTCGTACCCTTTCCTTCATGCAAATCTCCCTATATTTCTTAACTGACCAATTTTCAATATGCCACTTTTCCAATTTCGTTATCTCCTAAACTCAATCCTGTCAATCTCATTCCATTACAAATTGACAGGAACTATTACAGCATGAAATACGCACCCACAATATTTCGTAATAGATACCATTCCGAAAAAAGTAAGCAAATCAATAAACTATACAATTTATAACGTCGCGTCATTTCAAACTTTGATAGAAAAACTTGATAATTGTGAACCACCAAAAAAATAATCAATACAATACCCACAATCAATATTTTTGTGGAAATCTTTGCATAAACATCTGAAAAACCCAAAAAAAAAATGATCGAATATGTGTGTTTGTATATTTGCCCCCAAAATGTTTGTGCGTATCCATCCATTCACCTATCATACGCACGATGTGTACGTAGTAATGTTATTGATATTCTTGTTTTTTGTTGCTGTTCAAATTGCTGTTGCAACATATGCAAAAACGATTGCAATCTGCATCGGAGTTTGTTGTTGAGACTGCCACGGCATCGGCTACGGCTGCTGCAACTCATGTTTGAACACTGTCCACCAGTAATCAGTACAAATCTTAAAATGGAAAAAAAACTGCCCCAAAACCGCAACCAATGGCAAATTTCTAAGGTAACGCACTCGCCTAAAAACGTAAATGGCCCCAAAACACACGCACACACACACTCACATTTCATTCTTTCATTTTTATGAAGTCCCCAAAGACATGAGCTGACTTAAATTATATACCAATAGACAGACATTCGGCAGGCAAATAGATAGCCAGCTAGGCCATGTAGTAAACCCAGCTTGGGATTTTAAAATTATTTAATTTTTGTTACCCTACACCAGGATATGAAAGGTTGTCATTAAAATTTTTGAAGGCGATGAAATTTTTTTAAAGAATTTTTTCTAAAGCCAAAAGACGTGGATTTTTTAAAGAAATGTTTACTTAGGTCTAAGAGGTCATTAGGTGTGGATTTTTAAAGAATTGTCACTGGGGCTAAAAAAGGTCATAAGGCGTGGATTTTTTAAAGAATTTGTACTGAGGCCTAAAAGGTCATAAGGCGTGGATTTTTTAAAGAATTTGTACTGAGGCCTAAAAGGTCATAAGGCGTGGATTTTTAAAGAATTTTTACTGAGGCCTAAAAGGTCATAAATTTTTAAAGAATTTTTACGAGGCTTTTTTTTTTAAATAATTTTTACTGAGGCCTAAGAGATCATTATGCGTGGATTTTTAAAGAATTGTTACTGAGGCCTCCGAGGTCATTTGACGTGGATTTTTTTAAGAATTGTTGCTGAGGCCTAAGAGGTCATTTGGAGTGGATTTTTAAAGAATTTTTACTGAGGCCTAAAAGGTCATATGGCGTGGGGTTTTTAAAGAATTTGTACTGGGGCCTAAAAGGTCATAATGCGTGGATTTTTTAAAGAATTTTTACTGAGGCCTAAGAAGGTCATTAGGCGTGGATTTTTAAAGAATTTTTACTGAGGCCTAAGAGGTCATTAGGCGTGGATTTTTAAAGAATTTTTACTGAGGCCTAAGAGGTCATTAGGCGTGGATTTTTAAAGAATTTTTACTGAGGCCTAAGAGGTCATTAGGCGTGGATTTTTAAAGAATTTTTACTGAGGCCTAAGAGGTCATTAGGCGTGGATTTTTAAAGAATTTTTACTGAGGCCTAAGAGGTCATTAGGCGTGGATTTTTAAAGAATTTTTACTGAGGCCTCCGAGGTCATTAGGCGTGGATTTTTAAAGAATTTTTACTGAGGCCTAAATAGACATTAGGCGTGAATTTTTTAAAGAGTTTGTACTGAGGCCTAAATAGACATTAGGCGTGAATTTTTTAAAGAGTTTGTACTGAGGCCTAAAAGGTCATAAGGCGTGGCTTTTTTAAAGAGTTTGTACTGAGGCCTTAAGGCCTAATTTTGGTCCACAAATTAATTTTATAAAAAATTTCACTCCTAATTTTGGTCCTTAAAAATATCGACGCCTATTTTTGGTCCTTAAAAGTATATAGGAGCGGTCCTTAAAATATATAGGTGTGGTCCTTAAAAATATCCACGCCTATATTGGTTTAAAAAATCACGCCTATTTTTGGTTCTTATAAATATTCTTCAAAAAATCCTCACCTATATTTGATCCACGCCTGTTGTGGTCCTTGAAAATATTTTTCAAAAATCCACGACATTGATTGTCTTTGAAAACATATTCGTAAAAATAGGCTACTTTTGGTCTGCGCAAAAAATTAAATTCTCGATTATAGTCCTTGCAATCGAATGTAGCTTACCTCCTAGTCGTTTCGATCGTTTATATAATTGTTTCCTTTTTTTTATTTTAGTGCGACTTTTTCATACGCAAATTCAATGAAGTCCAACACACGACGAAAAATGCGTTTAATTTATTGTACGGCTTTATGCTGATCGCCGAAACTAGTTTCCAGTCCATTGGTAGGCTTAGTTTTTTAACTTCATATCTGACTTAAATGGGCCACCAAACCAAAAAAAAAAAACATTGACGCATTTTTTGGTGCTGTACAATTTTATTTTTTTTTTCTTTGGTCATATATTGGCCTCAAGAGATGATTACATCATATTGGAGATTTTGGTGAATAAAAAAATCGTTTCGTAATAGTTGTTAGTTTAGAAAAATTCCATATTAGCAAATATCATTCTAATTTGTAATGTAGAGGTGAAATACATTTTGATTTGGGCGATTATCGAAATTTTAAATTATAAATAAGAGGACTACTCTCCTAATAAAGCAAATGGGTGTAATTATCGAAAATTGATTATTATATTTTTCAAGTATTCTCCAGCATATATTTATATAATATTTTAAATTTTCCAATGGAAATGTCAGATGACGGTATATTTAAGAAACAACAGGTGGAGGTTTACACCCTCCACCACATGGCGTGCAATAAAAATTCCATAAAATTGGTCGAGACCTTTATATGGGGATTATGTTATTACAATATGTCTTATTTTGTCTTCTATTTGTTTTTTCCATCTAATTCGTGACCTTCCCCTTCTGCGTGAACCATCAGTTTTATATGTCTTTTGAGCTGGAGCATTCTTCCGCCTATAGATTGTAAAGCTCGTGGTTCATTCGACGCCGATATTCACCGTCGACGCAGATCGGCCCGTAGATCTTTCGGAGAATTTTTCTCTCAAACACCCCAAGAGCTGCCTCATCTGCTTGCGCATGTACCCATGCTTCAGATCCATATAACAGCACGGGTAGTATCAGCGTCTTGCAAAGTGTGAGTTTGATCTGGCAGGAGGTGGCCTTGTTTCTAAACTGCTTACTTAGGCCATAATAGCATCTGCTGGCCAACACTATCCTTCTCCGAATTTGAAAACTGATATCATTAGTTTTATTTATTGCGGTACCAAGATATGCAATCTTTGACTGCCTCGAAGCTCTAGTTTTCAACTTCCACAGTTTATCCGAGTCTACTGGACGTGTTGTGCGTTGCTACCATCAGCATGGTCTTCTCGCCATTTACTGCCAGACCCACTTTGGCAGACTCCTTCTCAATTTGTTCAAAGGTGGCTGTTACCGCTCGCAATGTTCGACCCATTATATCGATGTCATCGGCGTAGGCGAGTAACATGTGTTGTTTGGTGTACATATTGTCATTTCTGTTCACCTTTGCGTCTCGTATGATCTTTTCCAGAAGGATGTTAAAAATGTCACATGACAAACTGTCACCTTGTCTGAATCCTTGTTCGATATTGAAGGCCTCCGATAGGTCCTTTCCGACATTAACTGCTGACTGTGTGCCACTTAAAGTTATCCTGCATGGCCGTATTAATTTTGCAGAAATGCCGAACGCAAACATGGCTTTAAATACCTCTGGAGGTGGAATGTGTTGTGGGTCTTTTCCAAGATTTGGCGCAGAGTGAAAATCTGGTCAATGGTGGATTTGCCAGGTCTGAAGCCGCATGGTATGGTCCAATAATGTCATTGACTATTGGCTTCAGTTGTTCACATAACTCGCTGGATAGTACTTTATATGCGATGGGAAGAAGATTAATTCCTCTAAAGTTGGCACATATCGTATTGTCTCCTTTTTTGTGCACGGGACACAGGATGCTGAGATTTCAATCATTGGGCATGCATTCCTCTCGACAAATTATACTAATCAGCTGGTGCATGCTGCATCTGTCCAACAGTCTTGAATGGTTCGGCTTGCTTTATTACTCTTCAGACGATTGATTGCCATTCTGACCTCATCTTGGCTAGGTGGTATAAATTCTGTACCGCCACTATTTGATACCAGAAGCTTTTCAAAATGCTCCTTCCAGATCCTCAACACGCTGTATGTATCTGTCACAAGGTTTCCTTCTTCATCTCTACATGAATATGTGGCTGCACCAAAGCCATTGGTTTGGTATTTTATTCTTTGGTAAAATTTCCGGACTTCATTCTGATTCCTATACATCTCGCTACTATCTGCAGGGTTGCCCTATACGCTGCGTTTTTCACATCAGTAGCATTACGACACCCCTGATCGTACCATGAATTCCATGATGGTGGTTTTTGGTACCCAAGTGTTGTTTTTGCTGCTGGGCTATTATTTGCCATTGTACTTCTATACTATTGTTGGGACAAGAAATGCTGTCGTATATCGAGATGCTTGAATCTGGTCAATGAACCTAGTGCCATTGTCGGATATTTCTTCATGGAGGCTGAATTTTCCAACGGTGGGGCCAAAAATATTTTCCCTTCCCTGCATGGCCAGGGCAGGGGTCATATGCTGTTTCTTCGCACTCGTAAAATATGTCTTTGGTCAAGATCTTAGTTTGATGGTTCGATTTCTCCTGCAAGCAATTTACCATGGTATGGCTCTCATATAAAATTTCTGATCCATTTAGGTGTTTTAAATGTCCACCTCATGGTGGAATGCATATATAGATCGAACATAACTAATGTCTTATGAATAATTGTAGCTCTCTCTGTTCATTAAGAATCTTGATATTGATGAATTATCTTGATTATTAGTATAGAGCGATATTTAAATTTGTCAAAAAATGTTGTACACTTGACATGTAGGGTATAATTAATTTAAACTTCAACTTTAAAAACGTTAAACACTTTTTATCGCTCATATCGAAGGTTGACAGCGTCACAGGGAACAAAAAACCAAAATAGACCAACAAAAAAATTAAAATGCGAATTTAACAAATGGTGGTAAAAACACGACAGAAAAACGCCAACCAACCAAAAAACAAACAGTAGCCAAACAAAAAAAACCTTAAAGATGCTTATCATCATTTGTTAATGCTTAAACGAGGCAACAACAACTACACAAACTACAATAATAAATAATGTTAATGTTTTTTCTGGCAAGCAAAGATTTTTCCCTAGCAGCAGTTCCGCAGACACTGAATGACTGAATGTGATTTTCTAAGGTTTATGTTTGGCGGCGAATACATTTTCAAATTTACAGTGGAAATAGTTTATAACAGCGCCGATTTTAGGGATATATCGGTTATAATGAAGGTATACAAAAGTCGTGAACAAATTTTTTTTTTGATGCACTTCGAAATCGAAATGTTTAGAACGATGGTCAAAGGACTGGGGAAATTGATCGCGATAGTCGTTATTATCGCTTAAAGCGACCAATTTCACCGGTCCCTTGATTTTCGTGGTAAACTATTTCTACTGTATTTATATTTGTTGTTACTGTAGTTCTACATGTTGTTTGTTATTGAAAGTCTGAAGCCTGTAATTGTGTCGTCGACTCAAACCATTTTCGGGAGAAAAAATTGCTATTTTTTATGATCGATAAACTTTGCTCTCTTGTCGGTGTCGAAAAAAACCAAGGGAGTTTCCTAGCAAACTCTTACAAAAAGGTGTAAATAAACGCCAACGCGTGTTGTTTACTTTTTATGTGGTGTATGTGTCGTTGGGGTGTTTTTTTATTTTATTTATTTTTTTAATTTTTTGCTGAAAATAAATTAAGATGTTAAACTTTAATTATCGCCAAAATGTGTTAATAGTGTTGAGAATAGAATAAACAAAATAAACTGCATTGAGTTCGGACAAGTCCTTCTTCTTATACCCTTCACTATGAGGTGAGCTATAACAATAACAAAACTCGATGCGGAATTTTTGATGGAGGCTATGCAATGTACAATTGCTGTCAGTAGAAAATGAAATACAGTCGAGTACGCTTGTAACGAACAACGGTTATCACGACCTTTCTTTATAGCCAACACATTTCCTGGTCCCGAAGCTTTATGACAAGTTTTTTAAACACATTTTTACTCCTATAGTGAACTACGGGTATAGCGAACTTTTTATATAAGGAAATATTTATTCAACCCCACATTCCGGTTTTCATTTATTTGAAAGTTTATAATTTAATTATTATAAAAATATTTTGCTAGATGAAATTAAAACAATATATAGAAAGGGAAGTTTTATGGTTTGTACTTACAAAGAAAAAATATTTTTTATTAAATCCGGTTACATACCTGAAAGAAAAAAATGGAAAATTCAAATCAATAAAATATTTGAATAAAAAAATTTGAAATGTCTTTAATATTTTGTTATGAAAACTGGCGTGAAGTTCGTCTGTTTCAAATCGAGCCCAAAAGATTTGAAACATTGTTTTTAAAATAATTATTACAAACTACACGCCTTATGTAGACCCCTGAAAAAAATATTTTTATAAAAACCACGCCGTATAGTAGACAATAAAAAAATATAGAAATCGCGCCGTACAGTAGGCCATTTTTTATGAAAACCACGCCAAAAAATGTAACTAATATCACAACTAGTTCCCTACTTCGCTCCACTATTTACCACTATTTGCGCTCACTCCCTCTCTCTCTCACTCACCATCTCTCTCTTTAACAAAAACAAATGTATTTCTCCCAAGAACAACCGCCTCTCCCCTTACAGAGTGTTTGCTGTTTTTGCAACCGTTCATTTGACAACTGTTCCTGTTGCTAACAACCACCGACTTTCCATTCACTCGATTGTGACTAGTTTTGCATTCCATTGTTTCTTTGTTTCGGACACTCTTACCAACCTCTGTGTTGGTGTTACAAAATTCGCATGTGTATTTTCCAAATTATTTTGATATAAATGCTAAATACAATATATCAAACAAGTCCAACTGAATGCTCAACATTATATATGGTTGTTCTAATTAATGTGGATCAATATACTTTCCGCATGGATGTTCGGTTTGATAACTTGTGAGAAATTTTTAATAACCCCAAATATAATATTTATAACATTTTCTAAATAAAATGGTTTAACCTATGAGAAGCCAAAATATCTAATCAATAATTGTTTATCAATTCGACTGTAAACGATAAAATTACCGAAAAATCTGAAAGAAAACCCATTCTGAATTTTTTTAAACATTTTGAATGATGTTGTGATGTGGTGAAGGACGGGCCGTGTAATTTTCGATGATGATCAGATG